ATATTAAATTCATAATGACATAAGGTGTATAGTGTTGCCAGTGGGAGCTAATGTAGGTTAGGATACCAGTAAAAATCTTATTTTTCCCCGGAAGGTAAAAACTCGTCAATTCATTAATACATAGTGTAAAAACACAAAGGTAGCATCAACTTCATATAATTTTGAGCGAAGGACATTTACAGGTAAGTTACTTTGATCAAACAATTATAGTACTGAGAACATATTGTTCGCGATGTCTTGTAACAACATAGGAATACATCAAACCGTGGCTGCACCCGCGTATTTGAGACGCCCTACGCCTTGAACGTCCCTTTTACTACTGGTCTTTGACCGCTTGCTGAACCCACGTGAGCTGGAGAGGGTGGTACTCGATATCGCAGACTGACATAAACGAACACTTCCTTTACTTCTTATTACTTAATTAGCGTCCTAAAGTCTTGTTCATTTGTTAATTGGAATCAAATAAACATATACTACAGTCTACTTTTATATATATCGAAAATAAAGTAACAACGAACCAGAAGCCTATAGAAAAATAAAACCGCGGAATTAATGCTCAAAGAAATTCTCCACCAGTCAACATTGGGTGACTAGTTATATTTAAACTAAAATAAAAGAATAAATTTATTTTTGCATATTATTCATACATGAATATGTATTATTAATACTAATTATATGTAATAACGTGTTCAGTGTATTAGTAATATATGTTTTTAATTATTTATTTTTAATATTTATTCAAAATCATAATAAATGGTGGATTTAACGATTACGAGTAAAGACATTCTCTACCAGTCAACGTTGCCTGACTCGTTATACACATATATAAAAAAATATTAGCATATAAATACTAGGTGTTAGGACACGTTTTCCGCTGTCTGGGTAAGTACCACTCTCTTATTTATTTCTGCCATAAAATAGTAGCGCTTGGACTATTGTGCTCCCGTTTGAAGTGTATTGAGTACCAGTATAGTAAAAGGCTGTGAGGCATCTTAGTCATCAGAGGTGACAACGGATCTGTTACCTTTTTTGTTTGAAGATGGCTGCAGGTATCCATGAGTTATAGCAGTCATTTGTTATCAAGAGGACTGTTAATGTATTTGTGATTCCATCTTTACAAAAAAAACTATTTTTGATTTTGTAAGCTTTCTAGATTTTAAAAGCTTACCTCATATGATATTCCCGTTAGAAAATCTGAACAAAACTTCGCACAGATGTCATAAAATATAATGGTGTGCAGTTCGTTAGCGAAGTAAAAATTGGAAAACAAACCGTAGTGCATAGAAATTAATGTAGGATCGCAATGTGGAAATAAAGTGCGTAAAACCGCAATCGATAATGAACAATATATTTCAACTTGGGCATGGTTTTGCCCAGCAATGTATTATGTTGACATCTTAAATAATCTTATAATGCAATTTTTACATGTTTTGTTAGCAAGCATAAGTCACACATAACACGGAAAGCTAATTGTGTGGTTCATAGATATTATATATGATATATTTCTATCCTTGATAACATACCAAAATTCAGATGCCTTGTTATCCCTGAGGTCTACGATGTATGTATCATTACATAATGAATTTCACAATTAATCTTCTGTACAATTTTTAGAAGAGTTTGTATTTCGTGTATGGAAACTTTTTTAAAAACTGACTTGTTCGGCAGGTTGTACAAAGAGAAGTCGATGTGCGAGACGATTCGTTGTGATCTTGAGAACAGCACGTAGACACGGCATAGATGAAAATCATTCATCATTTTCGGTCATTTTTCTGTTATAGAAGAAGTACGTTGTAGCTTTTATCGAAGAAAAATTCTGCTACACGCCGCTGAAGTAGCGCCATAATGAAGGACAGAATTGTAAAGCTTCTGAATGGGAATTCCACTCGCTTTCAGATGTTTTGCTGTAACTCTGTTCTCACCCACGGCCTTGCCGTTTTAAAGTGCTGGAAATCTATTCTTATCTGTGTCTTGCTGACGCTCTAGGGTCTTCATCGGAATAATATCGAATGAGGTATACTCTTAAATCGTTACTCAGACTTGTGTGTAGCTCTAGCGACGATATTACAGCAACAACTCACTCAGAACATTGACATAGACTATTTCCAGCAGACAGATCACTGGCAAAAATTTTGGAACTTTATTTCTATTTTATTGCTTCTTCAATACGAGCACTATAGTTAAGTAGTATACTTAAGTTGGTAAGTCTCACAACAAGCATTTGGAGATCTCAACTGTTCAGTTGCATGTACGCTGCTATATCTCTTAAAGATTGCAGTTTTATCCTATACCTTTAAACGAGCAATTCTTGTATATATATATATATATATATATATATATATATATATATATATATATATTAGAATCTCGGAAACGGCTCCAACGATTTTCATTAGTGTCCAGGGAGTTTCGGGGGCAATAAATCGATCTAGCTAGGATTTATTTTTAGAAAATTTTTGTCCGTGTTTCCAGGGCAATGAAAAACTGCTACGATATCAGAAGGTAAATTTTTACACTGTGTTAATGATCGTAATAGCTCAAGTGGATATCGAGCGGTTGCGAAATCGTAATGCCTTGGTTCGCGTCCTGTCTTCGGTCTGACTTTTTTCCTTTTTTTTCAAGTTCCCTTTTTTTTGAGAAAATCTATTATTTGAGCCTTTTTCTTAGTATTTTTTAAAAATACGAAAATTTTAATTAAACTAATTGCACTCATGATTTTTTATTCGTTGTTTAGTTTTTCTATTATGTCAATAATATCAAAACATAATATTCATGTAATTTGTATCTAAATGTAATTTAAAAAAACCGAGCATAGCTCGGTCATCGGGGTACTTTTTAGTTTAACAGACATGAGATTAAGAGTGTAATCGGAGAGTTTTGGGTTCTTTTTTGATGCGTCTATGGTTTAGCTCCAACCGTTCAATTAGCTTGTCATTTAAATCGTCCACTGAATTGCAATATTCTAGACACTGAAAATGATTTCAAGCTAAAAATTCTATGGATTAAAGCTTGAGAGGGGTTTACATTACTAGACGTGACAACTCCAACATAACGTTAAAATTCTGTGTACCTCTCCATATTTTATTTTCGCCCTGAGACATCACTGAATAGTCCTGGTAGCCAAAAAATTTGAATTCCATTTTTAGTTGAACCATCGAGGCTGGACCACTTTATATAGGATCGCTTGTGGAAGAAAAAGTCCATCGTAAAGAACTTCATAGGGTTTTTTTTTTAATTTGGAAGGATTTTTTAATGTTTGTACACAAGGATACTGTGTTACAGTGCTCTGGTGTTCAAACGCATCCTGATTTTGCAAAAAGAAAAATTTGTTTCAGTTTGCACTAAGCGTGAATTAAAAGAAATATATTCTATATATTTGACAATGGATATTCATTAAGTTTTACACAAAGAGTGTTTTAATCACTAATTAAAAGTAAGCGTTTGCGCAGGTTGCTTGTTTTGTCTTAATTCTAACACTTGTTTTTTTGTCACTAAACGTAAAAGAATAATAATTCTTATTAAAAAAAACGATATTTACTTCAAAAGTATATTCGTAGAAACAAATATTGTTCAAAACTTTTAACGCAAAATAAATATCAATATTACATTTATTATCACATTTCTTATGAATAAAAATATTATGTTACATTATTTTTATTCTGTTTTCACCTATGAGGCAGTTTATGTGGGAGGTCTACGTCATCTCTATCTCTCTATCTCTCTCTATCTACGTCATCAAAAGTTCACGGTTGAACCGTGAACTTTTAATAGACTATAATGAAAGTATGAATAAAGGATAAGTTATTGTGGTGTAAATTATTTGTATCATAAGTAGAAATTACAGAGCGATAATTAAAACAATGAATTACTGTACTGAAAACAATAATATATACAATTTAATTTAATTTACGCAAATAATATATGTATAGGTAATATATTTTAAGTATAAAGGGTAATATGAAATAATAAAATATTTCCTGTAAACTGTATTTAAAGGGAAAAATACCGAATTTTACCGCTACCACCACCTTTCAAGATATTCCGCTGCTGACGCAGTGGTGCTGGTAGCGTTACGTATAAGATCAACACATGATCATGGACCCGGTGTTGACTGATTTAATGTCAAAAATTCGAATTTTTAAATCGAATCTACATTTAGGTAACTTAATCACATAATCATAAACTTCAAACACTTTCCAGGACCACAGCCGCCAAATAGCAGTCCTTGAGCTGCTGTATTTCAATCTGAAGGTTATAGTTTAGGGAGTCAATAATATACAATCTGTGAGGCATTTATCTTAGTCCTCAAATGTGATAACGCATTTCTAGCCTTATTTATTCAGATGGGTTGCAGGTGTTCATATGTTGCAGTAACCACTTACCATCAGGTGGACTAAGTTCATTTGTAGTGACAAATGAATCAAATTTATAAATTAAAAATCAACAAACAAGTTTTCAAAAGTCTACTTTTCAAAATTTTGTGAGCATTGTTAAGAGAAATCGGAACTTTTATACTTAACTTCCTAGTAATAGGTTAGCAAGTCAAATACAGCTTTTTAACATAGTGACATCCGTGTTTACAACGTTTAATTAATTTTATATTATATAGAAATACCAACAGAAATAACGCTAGCGACGGAATTTAATTAATTTTCTAATTATTTTGTAATTAGCTGCTGTACCTTTGTGTAGCGTTTACTAAAACAAATACAGCTCAGACGTAAATTAATAAAGTATACTTTCTTATTTCTTCAGAAAAACTTCATATAATAATAATAATAATAAAGGCGTAGGGAAGTGACGACCCCATCGCCCGCTGACGTAACAGTTATGTGACAAAACTGCGACGTTGGCGCAGTCAGTCAGGATCCTGCCAAGAGGTGTGAGCGCCGTGCCTAGGCAAAATTGTAGATGCAAAGGTCTGTTTGTGCATATGACCCAACCACGAAACGGTGCCGGGCTTGGGCGTCTCCCGTTATTTGGCGCCCATAAAATGGATGATGGAAAAAACACAAAAAGGAACGCGCATAGGGCCGCTGCCTGGGGGTCGCCGGGGCGCGTCTGGAGCTGGCGCTGGACGCGGCAGCATGCGGGCCGCCAGCCGAGTGCGAGGAGCTGCACGATCACCTAGCAGCCCCTCGCATCCATCATCCCCACCAGAAGGCTTGGTGTCGGCTGGGTCTTCTCGGACCCAGCAAGCGGCACCCGCCGCTGGTGGAGCACGTCGCATGCGTTGGACAAAATCCATGAACGAAAACGCATTGCGGGCGTACTATAGGGCGAAAGGGGAATAAACTGTGGGAATAGCGTATAGGTCTCGGATGCATTGCTTTTTTGCTGAGCTGGAGCCGTCTATCCCCGTCACGGAACAAAACCTGGCAGACCGAGTTCGGTACATCATGCGCTATTTATTTATGTATTTTTGTATTTATTTTATTTTATTGATATTTATGTATATTTATCCTTTCATTTTCGTTTATAATTATATATTTATACATCCCAACCAGATGAGAAAACTATATAGATACCCCACAATAATAATAATAATAAGTTCTTTATTTCCAAGAGGTTGTACATCACGATATTTGCATAACATTATTTAATAAAGCTACATTAGTAGGTACATATACTTGAAAGCATAGCATCTGCAGCCGAACTAGGAGACCTTTACAAGACATTTACGTTTTGCCTTAAAAGCTTTAACCCATGCTTAAATAACGTGCGTTAAATAGCGTGCGAAAAATCAATCAAAAGAGTCTATAAAAGTCCACTGCTGAAGGCTAGGCTTATAGGCTGCCCCCATAGATTGCCTCATAGGGGAGAATTTAGCAGGCGGGTAACCGCAGTTAAATATTTTTAGTTCTTCCTCATTTAACATTAATAAAATATAATTATATTACTTTCCAACCATTCTCTTTTAATTTTTGCTGAGTGGTCAAAGATGTGTGTTTGGCATTAACATGGTAAAAGACCAATCCTTTTCTGTAGATCAATTCCTAATTTCTTGCTTGAGTCTCATTAGTTGTTGGCAGTAGATCCGAATCGATGGTTTTGCCAGGCGGTAAAATCTTATAATAAACTATGCCCTTCCAATCTCACCATACACCCAGCATCACCCTATTGCGGATTTTGCTACAGCCTGTGGAGCTTGACTACCTTTTGACCATGATCTTTTTCGCACGTTCTTGCCGTTGGTGATCAATCCATGGTAGATGAAGGTGGTTTAGGATCTTATTCTGTGACATTCTGTCATCCGCTGTCATAAGATACGATTATGAAAATGCCAAAAATACCTATTAGCTTCCGATGGCGGTTTAACCATACCGTTTACGTCAAACGTGAAATATACAGACCAGCGACAAAAATGCGAGATATATGGTGCCGCCATCGTCAATGATCATTCGCAGGACAAAGATTATAACTAATCTTAACAAGGGCCTAAGCCCAGCAATGGACTCTTAAAGGGCTGATAAAAAATGAAAGAATGTTCTTTTAAAAAAAGCCATTTATTTATTTGCTAGGAAAATTACTATCCTACTACATTGGACAATTATCTTCTTTCACCACTTGCATGTTTTAATTTCAATGGACATACCAATTAAACTGCTTTTATTCCTCCTTTTGATACTGCAATGCTCTGATACAGTATCTTAGCGTAGGTTTAAAATTAAATTTTAGAACAGCTATAACGACAAAACGGTCGCGCCGTCACCAATGTTTTAAATTTATTTTAGTACTCTTTTTTTATATCTTATTCTTCTGACTATATAAAAATATTCATAGCAGCTGCAGCATAAATATTCATTTAAATTGCAAGAGAATACAGTAAAACCGCGACTTTGTAATAAATTTCCTGCCACTTGCAAGCTTTGATCACAAAAGAACTCCTATTGTGCTTTTACAATTTAAATTGTCATTGCATTAAATTACTAATACTCTGTTACACACAAATAGCAAATATATAAAATAATGTAAAATACTGTAATATAACAATTTTGGAACTATGATAACACCTAAATAGACGATAAGAATATACTACTCCATATAATTGGTTTAATAAGTTATTATTTATTAAACCAATTATATTATTATTTGTTATATTTTATTATAGTATATTCTAATACGGAGTCACATTGTTGTGCTTACATACCTCATTCAATCGTTGATGGCACTCGTATATCAGTCCCGAGTTCGTCACATTGCAACTCAGAGCTTGTAGTACCGCCATACTGTCGGTCAGTATTCTGATGGAGAAGTCTTTCACCTTCCTAGCATCTATTGCTATGGCCGCTTGGATGATACCCATGCATTCAGCCTGGAAGACTGTGTTGTGGGTACCCAGCGGTGTGCATATGTGGATATTAAGGTCTTCAGAGAAAGCCCCAGACCCCACACCTTCATTTGTCTTAGAGCCATCCGTGAAAACTTTGAGCTCTCTTGGACCCAATCCTTCCAGATGGTCAGTTTCCTTCAATTGTATTCTGTACTTCCTATCAAATACAAATTGTTTTGGGATCCTATCATACTTGGCTTGTAAGATAGGAATTTTTGAGTAAATTCTATCGATTATATCTGTATGGGGGACTCTACTCTTACTTAAAAGATTTTGGGTCTTAAGTCTAATGGCAGCTAAAGTTGCTTCTTGTTGTAAATATATAGATGTAGCGGTGTTAGCTCCAGCATAGCCTCCAAAGCTGCTATTGGTGTTGTCCTTATGCAGCCCGTGGCAGCCATACAAGCTAATCTCTGGTAACGCTGTAGCTTTTATATAGTGGTGGCTTCATTGGTTTTAGTCCACCATACCAGAGAGCCGTATGTGATCATGGGCCGAATTACAGTTTTGTACAGCCACAGTATAATTTTTGGCGTTAAACCCCATCGTTTGCCAATCATGTTTCTGCACTGCCAGAAAGTTAAACTAGCTTTGCTGATTTTGTTTTCTATGTGTTTGTTCCAGTTAAGTTTACTGTCCAAGGTAAGACCTAGGCTAGGTATTTTACCTCGGAAGAAAGTTGGAGTTTTGTACTCAAAAGACTTGGAAGATGATAGTTATTCAGCATTCGTTTTTGTGTGAACATTACTATAACCGTTTTATTTGGATTAACGGTTAGGTCATATTCTCTGCACCATCTCTCCACAATACGGAGAGCCGCTTGGGTCAGGTCGCACACAATACTTGCTGTCTTACCAGAGACCAGTATTTTCAGATCATCTGCATAACCGACTGTGTAGAAATGATTAGCGTTTAATTTGCTGATGAGCTCATTAATGACCATATTCCACAGTAGAGGTGAAAGAACCCCACCCTGTTTGGATTAACGGTTAGGTCATATTCCCTGCACCATCTCTCCACAATACGGAGAGCCGCTTGGGTCAGGTCGCTCACAATGCTTGCTGTCTTTCCAGAGACCAGTATTGTCAGATCATCTGCATAACAGACTGTATAGAAATGATTAGTGTTTAATTTGCTGATGAGTTCATTAATGACCATGTTCCACAGGAGAGGTGAAAGAACCCCACCCTGTGGGCATCCTTTCATGATCTGAATTGTCTGAAATTCACCAGCAATCTTTATTGTTCGTGTACTGAGCATGTTTACTATCCAGTCAATCAGCGCCGGTTCAACATTATGTCTACTTAGAGCACCTTTTATGCTGGAGAAATTTGTTCTGTCAAAAGCACCTTCTGTGTCTATGAAGGAGCCTAGACATATTGATTTGTATTGGATGGCCTCTTCAATCTTTGTTATTACCTGGTGAAGTGACGATTCTGTTGATTTACCTAAGCTATAGGCGTGTTGTTTTTCGTGTAGCGGTAAGTTAATTAGCGCTGACTCTCTCAACTCCCGTTCACACATCCTCTCCATCGTCTTTAGGAGAAAGGATGTGAGGCCTATTGGCCTATAGGATTTAGGGTCTGTATAGTCGTTCTTACCTGGTTTGGGTATGAACGTGACTTTCACTTCCCTCCATCCCCTAGGAACATATTTAAGAGCCAAACATGCTCTCATTATGGCAACAAGTCTGACTATTAGGACTTTACCCCCCTCCCCCACTGGAGAAATTCCGGGAATAAGCCGTCAGGTCCTGTTGCCTTATAGGGTTGGAAACTATGAATGGCCCAATGGATTTTATCCATGTCAATTCAAGCAGTTGCTAGGTGTTTCAACTTTTTATTTTTATGAAAATAACTTTGTAATTTTTGGGAAAAACACGCAAATATTTTTTGTAAACATAATATAGTGTTATGTTTAGGGAATTTTTAAAATAAAATACTCATATATCATTCAAAAATTCCACTACTGAATATAGAGCTACCACATAGACTGCTTCATAAGGAATATTGACTGCGTGGGTGGTTATTCCCGGGTCGGGTTAAAATGAATTCTAATTGCGTTTCTCTCATGAAATTCTCAGTAGCATCCCGGAGTCATAAAGTTTGTGGTGTTTCACCCCTGTACTTCAAAAAGCACCCATAGCCGTTGGCCCTGCGCTGAATATATCACTGTTCGATCGGAACAGAGTGCACGATTGTCCACACACTCTCGCATTATAATTTTTCAGGTAGTCTACGTTGCGACTGGCATCTGCGCAGGACAGAGTTATACAATGACTAGTCTTGTTTTAATTAATTTTACAGCTGTATTAAATGCAATATTTTCTGACATATATAATTCAATATGTGTGGTAGGACATGCTTGACTCACACTAATACAGTGGTGTCGACCCAGTATGAGAAAGTTTTTTATATAATATTTTAGACCATTTGGAATAAAATAAGGTTAAGTGAATTTGCTTACCTCTTTAGCTGTGTTTACCTATATTCTTTTTTCCTAGAAGGTTGGGCTTGGCGCCTACCACATATTACTTAAATATCACCTCTACTGGTATAAAGCAACTGCTGGAGGCTATTGCATGCCTAGTGAGTTGTTACTGATGGAAACAGGTCCCAATATTTTAAATGTTTGTTTTAGATGAATAAAGATCCTTTGATATTTTAAAACAAAATTCTGTACCAAATAAGAAGTCACTTGGGTTTCCATAAGAGCTTTCTTTATAATCGTTGGTTAGCTCTGATAACAGTAATATTGTTCTTGAAGGAGCCTTTAAATTGTGTAAGACACATAACAGTCTATTGCAGTTATTTTCAGCATCATTATTTTCTTCACCGGTCTTCTTGATAAAGCCTATACATAAAATTTTGAAGTTTGCAAGGACTCCTAAGATCGTGAACAATCATTACGGTACAGCTGTAGAACATCCGGTACTTTAGCTTTAGGGACAACCATTTGCAA